TGGAAGGGACCTTTGAGGTCATCTAGTCCAACCCCCTGCTAGAGTTCTCACAACTCACTTAACCAGATAAGTCTTACTGGAAGCTCTGCCAACATAGACCTTAATAGGGTTAAAAAGCATCATTACAGGAATGCAAGTCCTAACTAACTTGCTGCAGGAAGCACCTAATCTTATAGGTGCCCTGACTTCAGCCGCCAGCGCCTTCGCCATTGGCTAGGCAAGCAGCAGGAGGTGTGGCTTGCCCAGCGTAGCCAATCAGTGTTTGGAGAAGAGTGTTTCACTCTGGAATAATGTAAAGCAGTGCTTCTCAGCCTTGAAGATGTGTGTGGACTTCAACTCCCAGAATTCTCCAGCTGGGGAATTCTGGGAGTTGAAGTCCACACATCGTTGAGGTGCCAAGATTGCGAAATATAGAGAGGCTTGATTATTATTATTTTTTGGCATTCTTTTGCCTGCAGAATTATGTAGGCCTTTTCTCTACCAGAGACCCCTTTTAAATACATTTTGGGGCCACGGCCACAGCCCCCCCCCCCAGACTTAAGATTTAAATCATAACACTTCTCAAGCCTCCGCGGACCCCTTGTGATGACCACAGGTTGAGAACCAATGATGTAAGCTAAATGGGTTAAATCAGTGTTTCTGAACCTCAGCCATTTTTAAGATGAGTGGACTTCAACTCCCAGAATTCCCTAGCCCAGGGATAGGCAGCCTTGGCTCTTTTATGACTCGGGGACTTCAACTCCCAGAATTCCTGAGTCAGCATGGGGGAATTATGGCCCCTTCATGACTCGTGGACTTCAACTCCCAGAATTCCTGAGCCAGCATGGGGGAACTATGGTCCCTTCATGACTCGTGGACTTCAACTCCCAGAATTCCTCAGCCAGCATGACTCAGCTTGGAAACTCTCCCTTTCCCCTCAGCATGGCTGGCTCAGGAATTCTGGGTATTGAAGTCCACAAGTCATAAAAGAGCCAAGGTTGCCTACTCCTGCCCTAGCCCATGCATGGGCTGGGGAATTCTGGGAGTTGAAGTCCACACATCTTAATAGGTTGTTGAAGTTGAGACACACTGGGCGGAATTACTAGTTTTAGATGTTCTCACAACACATTAATTCTCACAATATTCCCCCACAGGTGCCACAACCACTGGTTTACAAGGCTGAAGTTAATGAAAGCATTCAGAACCCCGTCGGAGACTTTGTAGGTTTAATTCTTGCTTATATTGTACTTCAGCTGGGATCTAAGTGGGCTGGGTAGTATAATGGGATTCTAAAACAAACAAAAAGGAAATAAAATCAGTTTATTGGGTTTAATTAGGCAAGGGGTGGCCTAAACGGATTCAGCACAGAAATAATTACCGCTTCAATCCTAAACTTGTCCTCATAATTTTGGCTTCTACTTTGAGTGGAGCTCAGTAGCAGAATAAAAAGGTCTGAAGAACTGGGATGAAAATATAACAATTTGTAAATTCATATATAGGCGCTGCAAAAATGTCAGGATTTGGGAAAACTCAACTGCATTTTTATGGAAAGCTTGCTTGCGATGGTCGTTCTAGTTTTCAGGCTTGGAAAATCTTCAACTTAAAAAGATTTCCTAAGTCACTCCAACTGGTTAAAACCGGGAAATTTGGTTTTTTGGGAGTCTGGGACACCGACACATTTGGGATTAATTTTAATGCTTGCTGGACAAGCTCCAAATCAAATCCACAGCCAGCGTAAAAAAAAAAATAATGGAAAGGGATGCACATTTTAATATCTATTAAGAAATCCTGCAATTCTGCAAAAGCAGAGGTGGTTGCTGAATTATAGTGGTCAAAAAAAACCTCAAACTGGTAGCTTGGAACCTGCATTGCAATCTCCTTTTTCAACACATATTTAGGGGGGTGTTTTTGATCACCCCTAAAAAAACATCCTGGCTGAACTAAAATAATTCCAGATATCTAACAGGTTTCCATGCTGGGTTCTCTGAAAATGCATAGTTCTTTAGCCGAAGTAGCTAAACCACTGTGGCTACATGAGAATTTGACACCTCCCTATCACCCCTGGACAATTAAACTAAGATATGATAATAATGATAATGATAATGATGATGATGATAATAATAATGATGATAACAACAATAATAATAATAATAATAATAATAATAATAGAGTTGGAAGGGACCTTGGAGGTCTTCTAGTCCAACCCCCTGCTCAGGCAGGAAACCCTATACCAGGGGTAGGCAACCTCGGCTCTTTTATGACTCATGGACTTCAACTCCCAGAATTCCTGAGTCAGCCTAGCTGACTCAGGAATTCTGGGAGTTGAAGTCCATGAGTCATAAAAGAGCCGAGGTTGCCTACCCCTGCCCTATACCATGGGTCTTCAGACTTGGCCCTTTTATGACTTGTGGACTTCAACTCCCAGAATTCCTGAACTATGGCCCCTTCATGACTTGTGGACTTCAACTCCCAGAATTTCTCAGTCAGCATGGGGGAACTATGGCCCCTTCATGACCTGTGGACTTCAACTCCCAGAATTCCTCAGCCAGTCATGCTGGCTGAGGAATTCTGGGAGTTGAAGTCCACAAGTCATAAAAGGGCCAAGTTTGAAGACCCCTGCCCTATACCATTTCAGACAAATGGTTATCCATACAGGTAATCCTCAACTTAACGACCCAAACTGAACCCAACCTTTCTAAGCGAGGCACGTGTTAAATGAATTTTGCCTCACGATACCTTTTTTGCCTCACGATACCTTTCTTAAAGCAAATCCCTGCCGTCATTGAAGCGAGTAACACGGTTGTTAAGTGAAACTGGTTTCCCCCTTGACTATGGCGTGTCCGACCGTCACCAAAGGGGATCACCTGACCTCAGCAGACACTGCAACCGTCACCGGTACACGCCAGTTGCCAAGCCTCTGAAGTTTTGATCAAGTGACCACAGGAAGGCTGCGACCGTCATAAAGTGTGAAAATGGTCACTAAATGGACGGTTTTTAAGTACATCGGGGCCCCGGGTCCCAGATCTGCCAAAGGAGACGGTCCTTCTTCCCTAGGGATGAAACTCAAGACATCCCTTAACCCCGCCATGCATTTTTGGGGGGTCCTCACCTGTAAGAGGAGGTGGACACCTTGCCCGTAACTTCCTGCTTGATCTGCCGGTTGAGGGCGTCCACCACCGCTCGTCCTTTCCCGGTCTCCTGGCTCCCCGAAGGTGCCGGCTGCTGGGGGGTGGGCCAAGCCTGGTCTTCAGACAGGTGGCCCCTCTTTTTGGTCTTGGTTAACCTTTCTTCGGAGGTGGGCAGCCCCGCCGGCGCCTCTTTCCTTCGCTCCAGCCGATCGTGGTCTATCTGAGACCGGCTTCTTCTCTCCCCGCTGCTGGACCGTTCCTTGGCCCCTTTGTCCAGCTCGACCAGGGCCGGGATGGCCATCTCCTTGGGGATCCAGGGGTGGTCTCCTCTCTTGGGGATGGGCCAAGGAGGGAAGTCCTTCTGGTACTGGCTCTGCCTGGCAAAGGGCTGGTCCGACGGGTGGTACTCGCTTTTCGGCTTGCAACTGGGCTCCGGACGCTGGACTTTCCAGGCCTTGAAATCGTGCCGCATCACCGAGTCCTGGGAGCCTGGATCTTTGGGCTGGCCCGCTTTGGGCGGCGGGGGTCCCGGCCCGGGGTCCACCCCCGAGGCAGGCCTGGCGAGGCCATCCGAGTCACCGCCAAGGGCGGCCGGCTGGGTGTCGATGGCCGAGGGCAACGGGCGGGCCGGCTGCTGCTGCTGCTGCTGCTGGAAGACCACCTGGGTGCCGGGCAGCTCGGTGGCTTCGGAGTACTTGGTGAAGACCAAAGGCACGGCGATGTCGGCTTTGTCCAGCTGGTTCCAGAAGCGGGCAATGCAGCACGCCCGGCTGATGCACGGCCAAGCCATCTCGGCCGTGGGGTCCTGCCCTCGTTCCCCCGCCACGGTCCAGCCTGCTCACTGACAGACAATGAAGACCCCCCCCACCCGTCCCCCAGGACCCGCTGCCCAAAGACCCCCTCCCCCACTATCTCCAGACCCTACACCCCTCCCCTTGTTGGGCAAGCCCAGCCTCCCTTCCCCAAGACCCCAAGACCCCCCCTCCCCAATTGCAAGATCCAGAGGATGCTCCAGACAGAAGGCCAAGCAAAAGACCCCTCCCCAATTAAGGGGATGCTAATTTGCCCCCCTCCATCAAGTTAGGGAAGAAGCAGGAGGGAGGGAGGGAGGGAGGGGCAGGCAAGCAGGCAGACAGACCCCCCCTTGTCTCTAAAGCCTGCAGAGGATCAAAGAGGAGCAAGGGAAGGGGGAGATAGATATCCCACCCCCCCACCCCCAAAATAAGGCCGGTGCCCAACGAGGCGCAGCCCCTGCAGAACCCAAAGGCGGTCTGGGCGGCGGGGGCTGCGGCAGAGAAAGCGGCCCCACCCAGCCGGGATGTGGAAGAGGAGGGAGGGGGCGAGCACCTGCCGCCGCCAGCACGCAGGCGCAAGACGGGCTGAGTGGGGCGGGGAGGGAGGGAGGGAGGGGGGCAAAAAGAAATCAGGCGGGTGCTTTTAACCCTTCCCTGCCCCGCCCGGCCGAAGGATGCTCTCCGCCTCGGCTGAGGATGCTGGGCCGGGTGGTCCTGGCGGCGGGGATCGGATCCTCCGGCTTCGGCTTTTTGCAAGGCTTTTTGCAAGGCGACAGTCCTCAGTGGGGCGCGGCTCTCCGGGTCAAGGCGACGGGCTTTCCCCCCGCGGTCCCCGGGAAAAAGGGAGGGGGAGGAACGGTCCACTCAGGCGACGGGGGGG